GGCTGCGCGGCTCAGGGCCCCGGGCCCGCGGCTCCAGATGCGGCTCCAGCTCCGGGCAGGGCTCCCGGCGCGGCCGGGCCAGGGCGGGCGCGGGCTCCAGCGCGGCCGGCCGGGCGGTTCCAGATGCGCGCCAGATGCGGCCTCCGCAGCGACGGCGGCCGGACCGCCCCCCGGATGTGGGCGCCGAGGCGAGGGACTGGACTCGGGGCCGCGGTGGAGGCCGCGAAGGCTACGTGAGGTGGCGAGGGTCGCGGGTCCCAGCTCCGCGGCTGTCAGAGTCGGTGTGGAGGCTCCGCGGCAGCGGCGCGCAGAGGACTCTCGGCCGGCACTGCCCCTCTGCGGCGGGCCCCGCCCACTGCAGACATAGGCCCCGCCCCTGCCCTCGCCCCGCCCACCCCGCCTCCCTCTGCGGCGCTCCCCGAGACCGAGGCCCCGCCCCCGAGGCCCGCAGCGCCGGGCCCCGCCCAGGAGGCGGTGGCTCCGCCCACCCCCGCTCTAGGCTGCTTTCTGGGCTGGGTGGACCGGCTGTCTGCAGCTCTGGCTCCGCCTGGCTCCCGGCTGGACCACGCCCTCTCCCGCGCCGAGTCCCGCCGCCCGGCCCGGCTCCGATTCTTTGCCTGGGGACACGGACCGCAGAGCTGCACCAGGCCCGCGGTTAGCTGGAACCGCCGCAGAGCCAGCCCGGCCCCTTAAAGGGGCCGGCAGCCGGCGCAGCGCACGTTTCCCTGTTAGAGCGCCCCTGCCCCCACATCCTCTCACAAGGAGGCTCCGCTCCGGCTCCCTACTCGGATTCCCCCGGCCCCAAATTCCCACGGGGTGTCCCGGAAGGGCTGGGGAACCATAGGGTACGAAGGTGCATCCGCCCCCCACCCCCACTCCAACTTGGGGCGGCCTAGATCGACCTTCCCAGGATAAGGCAGCGCTTCCGCTGGCACGTACCCCACGCGGTGGACCAGGGCGGGCTTCTGCACCGCTTGCCCCCGCCTATGGGCACGAGTTCGTCGTCCCAAGATCGACCTGGGCACTGGCGAGCTGCTGGTCCCCGGGTCCACTGAGGAGCCCAGCCGAGTGGGGGACGGCGGAGGTGGCGGGGTGGGGGGGAGACTGAGCGAAGACCCTCCCGGAAAATGACATCCGAAAGCTCAGCCTTGGGCTGCTGCTGTTTCCGGCCCTGAACGAGACCACCTTTCCACCTCTGCACACTCGCGCGCAGAGATGCAGGGCGCCCCACGCCTGGGGTGCATTTCATCCAACTGTTTAGGGGGCAGCAAGGGGGTGGAACCAGTGTGAAGGGCGGAGCCAACCCGAGAATTCAATTCATTCAGTCTTTTCTACCACCCTAAAGAACGAGCTCTCCAGCCTCCTGCGGTCTCTTGAACCAGTTTGCAAATATCTGTCATCATTTTCTTAATGCTAATAATGGCTCCCCTTATTGAGTGCTTCCTATATGTCAGGTGCCAAACTTAGTTCTTATCTCCATTTTACAGAGAAGATCGCTGAGACCAGAGGAGCAACAAGCCATCTCCAAAAGCGCCTGCTGTAACCGGCAATCCTACCCTGCTGGGCTCCTGTGCATTTTCCCACTTGATCCTCTCCATAAACCTCAGAGGGGAGGTGGCCCACACCTTTGAACGCCTGTGGCTTACACTGTGTACCCTTAACCAGACATGTGGCATGTTCCAGATTATTCCAGCTGCATTTTTTGAATTGCAATTTAATTTTGTCTCATTAACTTTTGTGTTTTGTCTCGTTGTGCGTAAGCTTGAGGGCAGGTACCCTGTCTTACAGGGACAATGGTTTGGTGTCCTCAGCGACAAAAGAGACACAGGGGGCGCGGGCTCGTTCCGGGATGAGATTGTGGCTGTTGTGTTAACCTGCTGCTTTTGATTTGGTCATAAGAGCAAAAACCCTCCCCACGTTTCCTTCCCTCAACCGCAGCTCCTTGCTCCCTGCCAAAATGGTCTCACCTTGACAACACTCAGCACCGAAACTCACCTGTCTTGAAACCTCTCTCTGCTTCACCCAACCCAGCGTGGTCAGTTTTCTTCGCTCTGTTCTCTCAGCTCTTGGTGATTTTGTTTATCTAATCTAAAGAATCAAGACCCCTTGGCCTTAAAGCAGGAGTTTGAGACCCCCTCCCCCAAGGAGGCTGAGGATAGAATTCATGACACTGGGATGGGCAAAAGTTATATCTTTATTTTCATTAATCTCTAAATGGTATTTAGCATCTTCTTTGACCGTGAGTGCAGGCAACCGGTAGAAGTCCCTGTGATTTGTCACTAAGGGAAGTCAAAGATCTTTTCATATCGATATTACAGTTACTGTACATATTTCAAAATATGATTTAAGCTACCACAACTCTAAAATGAAGATCATACTAGACCCACCACTAAATCTTATTGGTGTGTTAGTGAAGAAGCACTATATCACAAACTGGTTCAAATTTTTTGTGATTGCATTTTAGTAAAATTGTTTTATTATCCTAACGCCATTTTTTTTTTTTAATTTAAGTATTCTTAGGGCTTCTGGGTGGCTCAGTTGGTTTGAGCATCCAACTCTTGATTTTGAGTCTTGATCACAGGTCATGATCCCAGGGTCATGGGATCAAGCCCTGTGTCAGGCACACGGAGCCTGATGGGGATTCTGTCTCTCTCTTCCTCTGTCCCTCTCCCCTGCTCCTGCTCTCTGTCTCTCTGACTCTCTGTCTCTCTCTCTAAAATAAAATTTACAAAAATTATTCTGAAAAGAGGTCCATAGGCTTTACCAGATGCTCAAGGGGCCTGTGGGACGGAAAGGGTTAAAAAGCCACACCTGGGGAGTGGCTCCCTGCAGCCTGTTCCAGAAAGAATATGTCCTACCAGCAGCATTGTCCTGGAGTTGGGGTGTCGGGGGCACCCAGCCCTGTCCTGGGCGCTGGAGAGATTCAGACATTCTATGATCATTAACTGACCCCTTGCGTCAGCACAGGCTCTCCGCTTATCAGAAGGCAAGAGTTTAAGGAATGCCGGGAAAGCTAATGAAGGCTACCAGAAAGACCCTCCTGAGGCATGGGAGAGGTGCGAGAAGGGACACTTGGCCTGGAGGAGTAGAGAACCAGAAGATCTGAAGGAAATGGAGGAAATCGTACCCAAAGGGATTTCCAACTCAGCCGTAGAAATATACATACAAACAAAATGGCTAGAAGATAGTGCTGTGGCCATCAAGGAGCCAAAGTGAGATGTTGTGTGTCTTGCTTTTTATGGGTAAGATGAGAGGGGAGGCTAACCTGGTATCCTTCCAGTAGAGTGACCAACTGTCTTCATTTGCCCAGGACCCAGGGTTCCCCTTGATGCAGGACTTTCAATGCTAAAACCAGAAAGTTTCAGAGAAACCGAAACAAGCCCTTAGAGCTCTGGCGACTTCTCAGGCCAGAAGTCTTGGTCATCAATGTCAGCCAGATGGGCTCAGGAAGAAGCCAGCCTAGGGGTGCCTGTGTGGCTCAGTCGGTTGACTCAGGTCAAAATCTCACGGTTCGGGATGACAGCTCAGAGCCTGGAGCCTGCTTCAGATTCTGTCTCTCTCTCTCTCTCTCTCTCTCTCTCTCTCTCTCTCTCTGCCCCTCCCCTGCCCATGCTCTGTCTCTGTTTCTCTCTCAAAAATGAATCAATATTTTTTAAAAATTAAAAAAAAAAAAAAAACCAGGGTGCCTGGGTGGCTCAGCCGCTTAAGCATCCGACTTCGGCTCAGGTCATGATCTCACAGTCTGTGAGTTCAAGCCCTGCATCGGGCTTTGTGCCGACAGCTCAGAGCCTGGAGCCTGCTTCAGATTCTGTGTCTCCCTCTCTCTCTGCCCCTCCCCTGCTCATGCTCTGTCTCTCTCTGTCTCAAAAACAAATAAGAACATTTTAAAAATTTCTTTTTAATTAAAAAAAAGAAAAGAAGCCAGTCCAGTGTTCCCAATTTACAGACAATAGCATCAAGGTCCAGAGAGGGGTAGGGACTAGCCCCAGGTCACCCGAAAAAAAAATTGGTGGCAAAACCTGGCCTAGAATTCTGGTCCTACCCTCTGTCCACTATTCAGCCCTCCCCCAAGCTTCTCAGTGAGGTCAGTGTTTCCATCCGTTCAACCCTGGACACCCTCACCTCCCCATCCATCATCCAGAGAGAACGCAGGTGACTCTTCACTGGGTGGGGGGACCACTCAGACAGACAAAAGGAATATCCCCAAGAGGGATGCCAGCCTCCACTCTCTGAATAAGGATGGGTTTTCTCCTCAGTGAGGATGGGCATGACTTCACCCACGAGGCCCTTTTTATAGTCTCTGCCTCCTTGTCACGGCCACCTTGCCTGCCCTGTCAAAGTGCTGGGGACACCTGATAGGCTCTCAATAAACAGTTGCTGAATGAATGAATGAATGAATGAACTGATAAATGAATGGACAAACAACTTCATTCTCCCCACCCCATTCCCTTGGCATTTCACCGGGTAACTATCCCTCATCCTGCAGATTCCAACCTCACGCACAAAACCTCTGTCCTCCCAGCACCCTCCGGGTCAGCAACCTTGAGCCAGGAACAAGTCAGGTTCCCTATAGCCCCACATCCGGGCATGATGCCCAGC